GTCTTGAACCCGCAGGCTCAGGCAATCCTCTCACCTCGGCCTCCCAAAGTGCTGGGATGACAGGCGTGAGCCATGGCACCCGATTGAGCAGCTTTCACTGCAGAATCAACATGGCCCACCTCGCTCCTTACCCCACACCCACACGTCCATTCTCCTGCGCACGATGGCATGGGGCCTTCAGGGAGAATGGGTTCACAACTCTCTCTCTCTCTCAGTGGAATCTGGTTTGTTTTTGTTGCTGATGTTTTTTCTTTTTTGGTGAATTCCATCCATCCATCCAGCTGCCTCCTAGAAAGCCAAAACTTATCCAAGTTTTCTCTTTCTTTCTTACCGCCAAATCCAACCAAGACTTTCTAAAGTTGGACCCCTCACTTCCATCCCCAAGCCTGAAGTAAGATCCACCCCTCGATTCCTTCTCTAAGCTCAGAATGAATCCCTTTGACTTAGTCCCCAAAGACTCCCAGCTTCCCCACCCCATGCTTCCAGCTGCTACCCTGGCCAGGACATCAGTGTCTCCTCCCCTGGGCCCCAGTGGCACTCATAGGCTCATCCTCTCCATCTGTCACCAATGCATCCTCTTCCCTAGTTTTCAAGCTTTTTGATCCATTTTTTAAAAAGCACCCCAAGATATGAATACTTATTTCTAGGTGACTCACAAACATTGTCACCAACAAAGGCAGTCTGTGTGTTAGCAAACCTGCCTAAAAGGAATATAATCAGGTTGAACTGGAGATGAGATTAGCAACAGTGTAAAATAACTAAATGTCATGCTATTTAGGAACGGTACAAATACAAGACTAAATAACTTTTCAAAAAATTGTGCTTCACACGTTAGGGCTCTGGGGTGGAAAGGTCTGATTCGTTCATGTCATTTCTTCATTTCAATGGCTGTCATAGCTGAAAAGATGCCCCCAAAAGTACAAATAAAACAGACTTTACGGCATGTCTCATGGCAAGGTGCAGTGTTGGGAGTAGTTGATAGAAGTCCATCACTCAAAGGAAGATTCTTGACAGACTGAGTTTTTGGCTAGCCAATCTCTGGCTGCTAAAATACAACTCACGGGGTCAGTGTTGTTTGGCTTCATCATCTATTCTTCCCTCCTTCCTTCCCTCCCTCCTTCCTTCCTTCCTTCCTTTCTTCCTTTTGTTGGGGTCTCTGTCACCCAGGTTGGAGTGCAGTGGCGTGATTATGGTTCACCACACAGCCTCAAACTCTCAGGTTCAGGCGGTCCTTCTGCCTCAGCCTTCCAAGTAGTTGGAACTATAGGCACACACCACCACACCCGGCTAATTCTTTTTTTATTTTTTTGTAAAGACAAGGTCTCGCCAAGTTGCCCAGGCTGGTCTCGAACTCCTGGGCTCAAGCAATCCTCCCACCTCAGCCTCTCAAAGTGCTGGGATGACAGGCATGAGCCACTGCGCCAGCTTCATCATGTGTCACTGACAATGAGCGTGTACCGGGAGGAAGAGAGCATCACTGCTGCCATGTTCTTTGGCCCCCGCCTACGTCTGCGTGATTTAATGCAGTATTACCTTTCATCTGAATACTGTGCTTGCATTGTGACGGCAGCATTACCTTCAGTCCAAGCCTCTTTCAGATCACTTTTTAAGGCTTTGTCATTTTGTAAAAATTACTTTCCTTAGTACAGAACCCAGGCCAGGTGCAGTGCCTCACACCTGTAATCTCAGCACTTTGGGAGGCCGGGACAGGAGGATCACTTGAGGCCAGGAGTTTGAGACCAGCCTGGGAAACATAACAAGGTCCTGTCTCTACAAAAGAGTACACAAAATTAGCCGGGCATGGTGGCACTTGTAGTCCCAGATACTCTGGAGGCTGAGGGGGCAGATGGCTTGAGTCCGGGCGGAGGCTGCAGTGAGCTATGATTGTGCCGCTGCACTCTAGCCTGGGCAACAGAATCACGCTCTATCTTTAAAACAAAACAAAAGACAACTTGAATTCAGAACGTTCACATAACTTATGATGTATAGAAAAATAAACA